ATCCAGACGGTGCGGTGCTCCCGGGACACCAGCAAGCAAGGGAGGAGTAGGGGCTGGGCGGTGGTGTGAGGGGGCAGCTGAGTGTCAGCAGGGCTCAGCTTCTGGCTCTGGCTTGGCAGCAGGAGGTGGCAACAGTTTCTCATCGAGCGTGATTTCTATCACCGCCCCCGACCGCTTGCGGGGTTCGGGGCTTTCCTCTGACCACCTCCCCACCCTGCGCACCCCCTTGGCCACTTTGGGCGCGTTCCTGCAGGGGTTGTGGTCGTAGATCACCAGCTTCAAGCCGGGGAGGTGAGCCAGGCTTGGGAAGAACCGGATGGAGTTGCGGTCCACATCGATCACCTCCAGAAAAGGCATGTCCAGGAGCACGGGGGGGAACTCGGACAGCAGGTTGCCCGACAGCCAGACGGTGCGCAGCTCCTGCAGGCGCCGCAGCTGCGCGGGGAGCGAGCGCAGCGCGTTGGAGCCGGCGTGCAAAGTCTTGAGCAGGCTGAGCTCGCACACCACCTCGGGCAGGCACTGCAGGCAGTTGGACTCGATCCAGAGGGTCTTGAGGTTCTGCAGGAGCCGGAGCTCAAGGGGCAAGCTGCAGAGCTTGTTGTTGCCCAGGTAGAGGATGCACAGCTGCTTCAGCGTGCACACGACCAGGGGCAGAGCTTTGAAGTTGTTGAAGTCCAGCGCCAGGATCTGCAGGTTTTGCAGCTGCTCCAGCTCGGGGGGCAGATGGTTCAGGTTGTTGTCGCTGAGGTACAGCTTGACCAGTTCCCTAAAAGAGCAAATGTGCAGAGGCAGCCGCCTCAGCTGCCTGCCGCTCAGATCCACCATTTTATCCACTGGCATCTCTTCTAGGTCTTCCAGGAGGTACTTCTGGCACTCCTCAGAGGGCACAAAAGCAACTATGGCTTTCAGGCTGTTGCCCATCCCAGGACTTCCTTTGTTCGGGGATCGCTGGGACTGCAAGGGACAGCCTTGGTCTTCTGATGTGTACTGGCCTGCTGGTAACTCCGTCGTCCCAATATAAGGCTTTGTTTACATGGCACCAGCCATTAATCTCAAGGGCTCTGAAATGTTTCTGATAACCAAATGAGTGTTTGGTGATGGGGATTACAGACAGGATGACTCAGAGTGCAGGTCTCCCTCTCTTGATGACACCCCCCCCCCCCCAAAAAAACCCAACCCAACATTCTTCCTTGCCTCTTCCTGCTTGCCGATTTTGCCCCAAACCATCGCCTCACAGCCCCTCACCTCTTGCTCCGGCTGTGCTGTCTGTGCAGCCAGTGCTGGCTGCAGGGGTTGGCTCAGGAGAGTAAACACCACAGAAGACCGGATTTTTAAACTCAGATGTTTAGCTTTCATGAAACTTTCAGCAGAAATGTCAGATGTAGTCAAATTGTTGTTTAAAATACCTGTCAAGGCTTGACTGACTTTCCAGATGAGTGGCACTTTTAGGGATTTACTTTGCAAGGTGCCAAAGACATAATTTCAGAGTGTAACTTGCCACCCAGTACTTATCTTAAAGCTTTAACACAAATACTTGGCAAAGTGCTATCTTGAGCTGTTCTACTATTTATGTTCCTAATTTAACGGCGTTTACTATAGCCTCTGGCACTCTTGACTGTGTAGGGCCTTTTTTTATTAAATTATGTTTTGCTTCTTGTCTGAATCCCTATTTAATGTGCTCACTATCACAACCTGCCAAGGCCGTTCTCCAGCTGTCTTCCGACCTTGCTACTTGCAGTTCCCATGTCCATACCAAAACCTGTCAAGAAACTGTCGTGGATTTAATTCCATCAAGATTCTCACTGGTTATGAATGAGATAAATCATGACGCTAAAAATTATGACTATTTAGATGTGACGATGTAAACTGTTCCCCTCCTTCTCGCAGCAAGATCCATTGCTTTTTAGCTCTGATTTCTAGGAGGAGCCTTCCCATGTGTAGGCACCTCTGCATAGTTTGACTTCTTGAGCCCCTGCTGTTTTAAGCTTTCTTGGGGATTGTCTTACCTGTGTGTTGGCCGTGATTCTACCATGATCTTTGAATGTGAAAGCTGGCAGAGTGTTTAAAGGTGAAATAGCCTTTCTGGCAACTGGCTCTCTGCTTTGATATCTACAGCTCATTGCTGTCACTTTCCACACTTACCGTATTTATGGAGGATATTTTCTTTAAACAATCTGCAGATGGTTTCTGAGCATTAGGTGCTACTCAACCAAAATACGTGATTGCTGAGAATCATGTATTCTTGGAAAAACAAAAGGCAGAGCAAACAGAAGATTGAGAAAAGGGCAATATCAAACATTTAAGGTGGCCTCTCTATCTCGGGTCAAATCTGGTAATAGAGAACTTTCTACTAGTGTTCATTTGTGAAGCAGCTCTTAGCTATCAATTGAATATAGGCTATAGGATGTTTACTAGTCTTTTCCCTGCAAGATGAGTGTCTGTGCCATGCGGCAGTGATGCTATGAAATGTATGGAGGGTTTCCTGGAGGAGGAGAACAACAGAGAGGGCATCTGGGAGCCAGTATTGCAGCAGGACAGAGAAAGAACAGTGAGTGCTGCGGCCTGAGTGCCATGAAGTAGGTTTTGGACGGAGAAGCTGGGCAGGGTCTCAAGCCTGGAGAACGAAGATATGTCGCAGTCATCTGTGGCCATGCTGTGGAGGAGAGACACTGAAAATACTCTCCATGCCAGAAGGTGGGATGTGCTGGGCGTAGCACCCCAGCAGCAACAGCCAGTTCACTGTGAATGAGCATCTCAGAGTAGCCACCGACTTTTAAGAAAATATTCCCATGGCCCTCAGCAGGTTTTTGTATTTGTTTCCATTTCTAAGCAGCTGTGGCAGCTTCTAAAGGCAAGGCTCCCTGCCCTGTTAAGGCACTGTAGGCTACAGGTATGGAAAAACAAATGCATTTGGCGTAAGTAATAACGAATTTACATCCATGGCAAAGACATGTCCCTTAGGCAAACCTCACCAGATATCCTGCTGATCAGAACAAGCTAAAAGCCCGGGTAAGAGTGTATTAATAATATAGTTTAGGTATACTTTTCTTACTAATCCATATGGAGAGAAATCACTTTGCAATATAACTTATGTCTATAGATACAGAGACATGTATATTTTTTCTGCTTGAATTAGTTCTATTTAATGAAAGTTTTAAGCTGCAGAGAACTATTTCTTAGGGATCCTCTGCATTGTAGTTTAATCATTATTCCAGCTTATCAAAAAAAGTCACAATGACCTTTTGTTGCTGCATTTTGTACCTCTGTTGGCTAAATGAATGCCTGCTGGGAACACACTGTGAGATCACAGTATATGGGAAAAAATAACCTTCATGTAGTGGGATAATAAAGGGCTATATTTGCAATAAATGAACAATCTTGATCTTTCTGAGTATCAGCGACTTAGTGGAGGCTCTAAGGCAAAGGCAGTCCCTTCAGTAGGCTTGGGGCGGTGTTTTGAAAGCCACTTCATGTCTTCAAAGTTATCCCGATGCCCTCCAACACGAACATTAATGCCTTCCCAGAAGCATTTGTGGCATTTGAGGAACAGTTCAAGCGATAAAGGTGCTCAGCACAGACACTGTCTTGTTCTTGTCAAAGCGACACTGCCTTACCAGAGGGCATGACATCTGCTCTGCTGCGTGTCAGGTGGCACGTGTAGGCTCCTTGAGAAATGCCTTTGCTTTCTGAAGGTTCGCAAATGACCACATCTGTTGCTCACCGGTCTCATTTCCAGCGCCCAGCTCAGTGGCGTGTGTGGCTGTGAGACAGAAAACACGGCTGTTTGCTGAGAACTTGTGTAAAACCTCTGAGTCCGGAAGAAAAGGGGAACACTCCTCAGAGCTAGATAATTTAAAAAAAAAAAAAATCACAAAAAAAATGGAAATCAATATAAAAGCTTCATTTTTGAGTTTTTTTTTTTGTTTTGTTTTGTTTTGTTTTGTTTTGTTTTTTTAAGCAAAATATTAGAATAGAAGAGTTGGTGCTTTTTCAGATCCAAAGCTCTGCACACAGCTGTGTGATGACTCCAGGGTCAGCCTTTCCTGAGTTTGTGTAGCCTTCATAATTTTGGAGGTAAGTTTGAAAAAGCAAAACACGTATTTCAAAATCCAGGGTACTAATGAATAGAGTGCTAAATTAATTAATTTGAAGGCTCTCATGCCCCTCCTCAATCAGCCTGACATAGCAAGGGGAGAGACCTAAAGAAACAATTTTTAGGAATTTCTATAGTATATGCTGATAATGATTTGCTTTACATTTATTTAAAGTCTGTGACAGGCATTTAGACACCTTCTTCGCTCACAAATGCTGTGTGTTTAGTGTTTTCTGCTGTTTTTTCTTGACTGGAGCATTGTCACTAGAGCAGATGATGACTCCTGCCTCCTCCATGTTCTTGATATTCACTCTGCTACGCACTGTCACACATCTGCTCTCTTTTTTGGGGGGGTTACTTAATGCCAGTCCACCTTCATGTGGTGAGCAGCTTATTTCAAATAAGTGGTGTGTTGCAGGGGAAATATTGTCATTGCTCTTTTCCCAGCATCCTAGCTTAAGCTTTTGAAGAAAAATGGCTGCTTATTTAAATTTAGCTTTAATGTATGCTAGGCTGCAGTGTGTAATTGCTCACCACACCTCCTCGTGCAGAGGAAAGATTCAAAAAGTCTCAGAAGTAACTTGCAGACTCAGTGCCGAGCCTCCTCCCAGGCAGCTGATGGCTTTGGGGTTGCTCTCTCTCAGATCAGAGTCTCTTTTTGACACTGTTGTTTTTCTGCCAGCTTGACTTGAATCTAAGTGTCAGGCAGGTGTAGGAATGGCTAACCTTAGGAAACTCAAAGGAAAATAAATCCAAGTGAGTGCTTCCAAATGTCTTGCTGAAATGTGTACAAAACCACTTGTTCTTTATTAGTGTATGTTGCAGCCTGTCATGTTTTTTACTTTCAAGACCCATTTTTTGTGGTGGCAATCATGTTTATGTTTATACTGGAGCTCTTCCACATATAGGGAATTAAAGTCCAGTTGCCAGGGGATGACTTGTCGCAAACCTATCAAGTGTCTGTCTGCTCAGCCCTGCTGAAATGTCTCCATGTAAAAGGGAAATTATTACCTATTATGTCCCCTTTCTCTGTGTTGGACACTTTTGGGCCACTTGTCACTAAAGCCAGATTGAAAAACAGCTTACTCAGAGGGAACCCAGCAAGTCCTCGGACTGCCTCCTTTATCCTGTGCTAATGGGAGCCAAGCTCATCTCATGTATTGTATTTAGGTAAAAGACATTAAGGATTGTTAGTACAATGTCTGTCTGGTGTAGACTGTGCCCTGGTTATCTGTGCCTTAGTGTCTCCACCGCACACCACTATTTGCACAATCCAGCGGTTACTCTGAGAGCAAATGAATCGGTTTTCTGCCAAAGCACTGACCTCCTGTGATTGATTGACCTGGCGAACAGCCCTCTGCTGACAACGAGGTATAAAAAAGGGACTTCTGAGTAAATGAATGACAGTAGATTCCAAACTGCTTGGAGCCATGAGGGTGATACTGCTGGCTGTGGTTTACATCCCGTTCACCGTGGCTGTGGAACGGTAGGAAAACATCTCTAGCATTGCTGGCGCATGTCTCAGCTGGCTTTTTGGGGTGACCCATGCTTGTTGCTACCCAAGGTCTCAAAAAAGAGACAAATTTTTTAAAAAAAGAGTATATGAGAGCCCTAGAAAGGAGATCCAGTTAATTTTTTGTATGTTTATTTAATTTGCATAGAATCCCCCTTGTTCGATTCAAATCTATCAAGAAACAGCTGAAGGAAAAGGGAGAACTAGAAGAATTTTGGAGGAATCACAACCCTGACGTTTTTGCCCGGAGGTACCTGCATTGCTTCCCTGCAGATATTGCCTTATCAGTAGGAACCACTTCAGAAATGCTGTATGATTACATGAATGTAAGTACAGTTTTGGTAATGCAATCATAAGGACTTGTTGTTCTCTTGAAGGCAGATTTTTTTCCCAGTACATTTCAAATCTAGTCCCTCAATGAAATTATAGGGCTTGAGGTGGCTTGTTGCTCTATGCCATAAATATTAGATGATAAAAAATTAGTTTACCAGTCTGCAAAATAAAGCACATAGAGATCTAGATTAGCACGCGATTCAGGTAGAAAGCTGGCGTAGTCTAGCAGTAGTAGTCCTCTGACAAGTTCTTTTTTTTTTAGATCTGTATTGGACTTGGTTGGGTCTCTAAACAAATGTGGAAGGTTCGCCTGTATCAATCTTGGTTCAGGACTGGGTTTTTAGTAGCAGAATCTGATTATTTTATTTAGCTGTGTTCTATTTACCAGAAATTTGGTGTTTGCATGTTATAAAAAATCCCTCAAATCTCATTGATTTGATCACGTGGAGTCATAAATCTGTGATAAAAAAGACCCAAATAGAGTTTTTCTTTTTCTGCTTTTATCTCCTGTGTATTAAATATTAGAGACTGACCTAGGTCTCCCACTAACCTAGCTGAATTTACCATCCAAACTGAAAAAGGAAAAATATGAGTTTCATTGGATCTCAGACAGGCAAGTCAGCAGGTCAACCATTTTGTAAACTAACTGTCTTGGATTTAGGATTTTGTCCATTTGGATGGTCTCTGTTTTCTGTTTTGTTTTGGTTCTTCTCTTATGCTTACCAAAAGGAAAGCTAAATTGCAGAAATGTTGTGGAGGGTTCATCTGAACAGGGAAGGGAAAGCCAAATTAATTAATCAGGATCTTCCTGACACTTGAGGGCCATAAATAATATGTCAAGATGATCTAGAGATGTGTGTGAAGAACAAAGGAGACTGAAATCTTTCAGCCTGCTTTATAGCTTATCAAAGAGGGAAAAATCTCAAAATGACAAAAAAACCCACTTCCCCAGCATGTTCAGCTTGCAAAAGGAACAGTTCTGTAGAGGTTTCAGTGCAGTGTGTTTGTGGGTTTTCTGGGATTGTTTTTGTTTTTGGATGAGCTGCCTCACTTTACAGATTAATAGATAAAGGTTTGTTTAATACTGGAAAGAATAAAATCCTGCTGCACAGCTGGATATTCTCTTAAATGTCAAGTTTGCTTGCCTTTTCATGATTATCTCATTCAGACCATAAACTCCAGGGTCAGAAACTATATTCAGTGTATTCATTAACAAGTACGCACTTGAAGATACATATTCAAATATTTGTATTGCAACAAGAGGCTTGGGACTGGCTATTGCTTTTCTATCTGTGTGTGAATTCCAGAAATGCCTCTTCCCAAAAATAGGTCTCTTAATGCTGAAGTGCTCTTCCAGGGCCAAATAGGGGCACTTAGACACTTGCATTTGGGATGTGGATAAGCCCTTCACTCCAGCATTCACATGTTCACAGATTATCTCTAGCCTCAATTGGTATCCAGGGATGGTCAGTGGTTTCTTTATCCACTGGATGAACTTTGTTCAGTACGTCACATACAGTCTGTGCAACAGAATTCGGTTTTTGATTTGCTAATAGCTGCTAATTACAAAGGAATAATCCCAGCCATATGTGGCAGCGTTTGTGTCACCGGTCGGGGCCCTCTGACACTGGCAGAGGCGGGTCGTGCTGTCTTTGCTTCACTGATTTCTTACTGACATCAGTAGGGAGCTGCCTGAAAGCCTGCATGGTCGTGCAAGAGCTTTGTCTTGGGGTTAACCTTGCCGCCACTGAAGTCAGTGCAAGTCAACCATTGTTGACTTAATGGAGAACCCGACAGAGCGTTTGCTTAAAAGGCTTTAAGAATGCCGCACAGTTATGCACACAGCTGGAGTGAAATCTGCTGTCCTCAGCCACTCGTGGAGTCAGACACACTTCCCTGTGGCGTGCATTTATGTTTAAATGAAATTGCACCGAACTCCCTGGGAAGGCGTTGCACGATGCTCCCAGGTCTGCCTTTTCCTCAGGAACAGCTCACCGGGAGGCAGCCCGGGGCTGACCGGGTTGTTCCTCCCCCAGGCGCAGTACTACGGAGTTGTGAGCGTTGGCACGCCGCCCCAGAGGTTCACCGTCGTGTTTGACACCGGCTCCTCCAATTTTTGGGTCCCTTCTGCTTATTGCATCAGCGAAGCATGCAGTAAGAAACATTACCACCCTCCCTTACACTCCTTCTATCTCGGGAACCTTGGCCACTTCTCTGTTCCCAAGGAGCTCGCCTGCAGCAGGGATTTGGGAGGGGAGGATTTGGAGCACCCCGAGGGCCGCTCTCCCCTTCCTGGCTTGCTCCTCCATCTCTGCCCCTTCGTGCCACCCTGCAGCCAGGGCAGGGGCTGGATGCAGCTGCCAAGCACCCCTCCGCACCATGGGATGCCTGATGTAAAAGGCATGAAAATAAACCTAGGAGAGCTACAGATAGTGGTGGAAATGCCCATTTTTGTTTTAATTTGTCTTTAAAACCCCAAATAACTTCTGAGGTACAGAAAAACTGGGGTGCCTACAAGGAAACTGGCACCTCCATCAACACCGTCCTCATAAGACAAGCAAAAATCTGCCTCTCCTGCATCTAGGCTGGTTGTGCATTGAGGAGCAGGTGTGTTGCCGAGACCTCCCCTCGGTGCACAGGTGTCATTTGTTTTGTGTAGGGGTGCACCAGAAATTTAAGTCTTTTCTCTCGGACTCGTACGAGCACGGTGGGGAAGCCTTCTCCTTGCAGTACGGCACGGGACAGCTTCTGGGCATTGCTGGCAAAGACACGCTGCAGGTGAGCATCCACCTACAATGGGTGTCAGCCTCCAGGTCAACCGGGTTTTTAAGGCAGTTCAGATACTGGCCTTGCCCTGGTAAACCTTGCCTGGTTTAGGTAAGGGCAGGGTGAAGTCTCACCAATCTGCGTCTACCCAGACAAATCCCTAAGATTTTATTTTCCATTTCTGCTTCTCTCCTTGGGTTCTGTCCTGGGTTTATGAAGAAACACCCACAGAATTAATGTATTAAAAGGAATCAGTGCAGCCTACCTGCCAAATGGGCACCTGCTATATTGATGCACGTCACACAAGGATATCCAGGCTTTATAACCTGAATTAATCCATTGATCTGAATGTGAAACGTGACTAATTTATTGTAATTGATGGTGGTTTTACATTCACTTGTACCAAACAGATAAGTAACATCTCCATCAAGGGACAGGACTTTGGTGAGTCGGTGTTTGAGCCAGGAACAACCTTTGCCTTTGCCCACTTTGATGGTGTGCTGGGCTTGGGCTACCCCTCCTTAGCAGTGGGCAATGCTCTGCCCGTGTTCGACAGCATCATGAACCAGCAGCTGGTAGAGGAGCCGGTCTTCTCTTTTTATCTGAAAAGGTCAGTCTTAAAAGTGACACTACCAAAAAAGTAGTAAATCTGTTTTAATTGTTGATATAGACAACCATGCATTTATATAAAGCTTCAACTCTAGAAAGTAATTTCACCCATTTCTTGGGTTTTGATGTTTGGTTGGGGTTTTTTGTTTGTTTTTTTTGTTTTGTTTTTTTTTCAATTTGACACTGAAAAATATGGAGTGAAAAGGAAAAATGCTATGGGGAGGCCCATGAATTTTTGGACAGAGAGTTATTCTTGTTGGAGCTGGTCATAAACAAAAGAAAAGCTCCCAGCTCAGACTCACCATGTCTGAGTTGCCACAGGTTTCCTTCTGGCTCGTGGAGATGAACAGAAATGCCATGTTAAACCCAAATAGCCACATTTCAGAAAAGATATGTTGTTCCATAGTCTGGACCTAGCTGTAACCACCAATTTATCTGTTGTGAGGTGAGGGTAGCAACTGGCTCAACCTGCTCATGATGCCTATCTTAGCTCTCGGCAGCCTACAGTAAATCTTCTCAGAGGTTGTTTGGAGGCGCTGAGTTGGGATAGAGGCAGTTATAATTTAGAAATAATCCCTTTCAGCCATCCATATCTGAATTTAGGAAGGGCTGTGATTAATATTTTGATTTTTAAGTGTAACCTCATCAGTGCATGCTGGCACAATCCCATGTCTGTGTTAAACTGTCTTCTGCTTTCAGAGGAGATGACACCGAGAATGGTGGTGAGTTGATTCTGGGGGGGATAGACCATTCTCTCTACAAAGGTTCAATCCACTGGGTCCCAGTCACCGAGAAAAGCTACTGGCAAATACACCTGAACAAGTATGTATGTATGTATGAATACCTGGTGGAATTCACCTCCCCAGCTAAAACCCACAGAGACAGAAACACCTAGCAATACAGACGCAGGAGGACTCAACCGCACTGTGCCCTTGTGCCTCTCAAAGAGAAGGTTCACCAGCATGAGACCAGGGTTTATTAGCTCTCTAAATATGCTGTGATATGTATTGCTGGTTTCTGGGAGAGCGTGTTAATATGTTTTAATATGATACACCAGGGGTCAAGTTGACTCTTGGACTATTCAGTTAAGTGGTTGAGGCACCCAGGAACTGAATCCAGCTCCAGGTCCTGCTCTCATCCTTCTTGTTAACCTTGATCAAAGTAGTCAGTGTTCCTTTGTTCCTCCTTCTGCTCTGTAAAGTGATGAGGACACGTACCCGCGGGTGAGGACAAATTCATCGGCAGGAGGCAAATAATTAGGGCTGCAGGAGTCCTGACAGAGAAAATTGGGTCCACAGACGGGAAGTCTTCCTCATGCAGTTTCCTTTTATTGCTTTCTTGTCTTTTAAAGATGTTCTTGTCTTTTAAGACTGGGAAAGCTTGGCAACTAGTTTTAACTTCAGACTGTGCTCTGGTACTTCAGCTAGCAATAATGTGTTGCTTCAGTCATGATGTATATACCACTTGTTTAAAGATGCTTTATTTTTCACTTGTAGCATAAAGATCCAGGGCCGGGTGGCATTTTGCTCCCACGGCTGTGAAGCCATCGTTGACTCAGGCACCTCTCTTATCACCGGCCCCTCTTCACAAATCAGGAGATTACAGGAGTATATTGGGTCAAGTCCATCGCATACTGGAGAGGTAAAAACTATACAGTCAGAAAACAGCCAGAGAGGAAGAGAAACTGGTATTTGGTGCAAAGAGCTTATAGGGTGGGAAAATAACTGAAATTACTGTTCAGCAAGGTCTCAGGGAAAACCTTGTTTCCAGAACAACACTGAACTCAAAGCTCTACTGGTTTTGACCCATTTGCCTTGCTGCCCCAGCCTTCCTCCTAGATGCCCACCTTCTCTCCCATACTTGTCAGTACTGGTGCGTAAGGAAATAATGAGGGTTTCAGTTTGAGGAATTGTTCTGTATTCTGTCAGAGATCATTTTCTTTTGGAAAATCAGAGGAGCACTTCCTTTCAAAGTCCCTGGCTACAGCCATTGGCTCACTTGAGCTGGGAAGGGGTTTGGTGCTGATGGCCAGCCCCATCAGCATCAAATGGAAAGGGGAAGGTATTGTAATTACAGCCTGACAACAGCTCCCTTGACAGGAGCTCTCGCTGTCGGCTTGCAGCGGAGCAGGCGGTGCCGTGCTGGGCTCCCGGGAGGGTTGCACAGCTGTGATGCTCACAACACTGTCTCCTGGCAAATGAATCACAGGGTGTGGGACAGGCCTTGCCATCTCTTATTCTCCGTCCTGAACCTTATTCCTCTGTCTCCTTGCCGGTTTGCCTCTCTTCCCCGCTGCTCTCTTCTGCATTCCCCTTGCTGATGCTCCCCACTGCTCCTCCTCATCCCTGTCTGCCCTCCGAGGAGTACCTCCACCTCCTCCAGCAGGCCAAAATGGCCTTGATGTATCACTTCATGGCCTCTCTGGCCCCACACCTCCAGTCCCCTGCTCCCCGTGTCCCTCTGGGGGGCTTGTGTGAGCTGAGGTTGCTCGAGGTAGGTTAGGCTTTCCCACCACCTTGCCCAAGGGACAGGCTGGGATGTCTCTCTGCTGCTCTTCGCATCTTCCCGCTGGCAATTTGCAGATGACATGACCTTGTAACATCTAAAGCATTGAGATAACAAGCCTGAGACAGCTAAACCCACCTGAGTCCAGAGGAAGAACAGTTTTTTTTTTTAGTGTGCCTTATTGCTGGCCCTTGGCTGACTCCCACAGGTAATTACTACGTCGCCACAGCTCCTGTGCCCCGAGTAAAGCTGTCATGTACAGCTTCTGTCAGCTTCACAGTTGGCTTGGTCCTGACACAAAACTGCACTTGGAAGAAAATTAGGTGTTAAGGTTGCCCAGTGCACTGGGCAAAGATCAAAGTAGACCTTTAATCTGCCTCCTTTTGTAAAAGGAGGACCTGAAGTGACATCTGAGTAACTCCTGAGGCTTCTGATTCTTTCTCAGTTAAACCTTAAAGTTTGTTTTCATTCAAATTTTCAGATACATGTCAAACTGAATGCTTTAATGACAAGTTGGTACATACTAATGGATATAGATAAAATATGTATTTTCAATGCACTTATATTAGTGTAATATAAATGAGAAAGTAGTCATTGAAGTACATGTTTATATATTCCAGTGCTGATGTAAGAACACTCAGCCAGCACCACAGATTCTGCAAAAAAGCATCTTGAAAATAAGACTTTCTATGACTGTTTTTCCAGAAACCACAGACAGGCTGAGTATATTGGCTCAAATTTATCCCTGTATAAGTGGGTCCATCCATTTTACCAGAACTTTTATCTCTTTCCAGCAAGGATTAATTTGTTCTGGACCTACTAGCTGTGTAAATGCATTATGACTTGCCTCTCGTATCCTACACACTATTATACTGGTTTTTTTACTCTTGTCCTCTGTATCCCATGATTTTTTTTTTCTAATGGTACGACACCTGATAAGTGTGGACAAGATTTAGGATTGTGTTTTCGTAAAGCAGATTTAACAACAACAAGAAGTAGATTCTTCTTTCTAGGAAGTCTCTAAAACAATCACTTTAAACACTACAGTTTACATCAAAGATCCCTCTGGGGCTTGGAGCATTCTGCAGTGCCTTTTAAGATGCCAGTTGTTTCATGAAATAACTAGAAAGGCCAGGAAATGATCTTCTGTGTTACTGTAAGTGAATGTATTATTTATGGAAATTAATGACCATGCCTGAGTTTAGTCCTTCTTCTGCTCTTTAAATCCCACTCCAAGGCAGAGTATAAGTATAAAGTGCTGTATTCCTCACTGGCTTTTTTTTTTTTTTTTTTTTCCTAAAACAATGATGTTACGGAGGGATAGAGGTGAACTACAGCCGTAGGACTCACTCCACCCAGCCCAGGCCAGAGCATTGGAGGACTTTGCTAATATGGGCAAGCAGACCTTGCTAATATGGGTTTGTTGGGGCTCTCACACATTCAGTTTTGCTTCTGAGTTGTGCAGGACAGACATCAGACTTCCCTTTCACCTCGTTCCTTTTGGGGCTTGCAAGGATTTTCGTCAGCCCTGGATCCCTAGGGGCTTTGGTGCCATGGTCTGGGCTGCTGGGTTGGTTTGACCTCATGCAGGAGCTGGAAAGCCGGAGGGCAGTGTCGGGCCGTAAGTCAGCCTGATGCTGTTTCTCTGCAGTAAATTCGCTGTTACCTGATGCAAAAGTCTTGAATTCAAAGGGCAATAATTAAAAAAAAGGCAAATCAATCCCGTCTCAATCGGTGCTTCGCATACAGTTTCTCATAGACTGCAGAAGACTGTCCAGCTTGCCTCACATAAGCTTCACGATCGGACACCGCGAGTACAAGCTGACACCAGAGCAATACATCATAATGGTGCGTATCCATGGCCTCCCCGCTCCCCGTCCCCTGTTCCCCACTCCCCAAGCTGGGCCTGGAGTGGGCAGCAGCAAGGACACGTGCTTTCCCTTCCAGGAGTCTATTGAAGACCAAACCTTCTGCATGAGCGGCTTTCAGTCTCTTGACATCACCACTCGCGCCGGCCCGCTCTGGATTTTAGGAGATGTCTTTATGTCTGCATTTTACTGCATTTTTGACCGTGGGAATGACAGAGTGGGATTTGCAAAAGCTGTTCATAGAAAGGATTCCTACTGAGTTGTGATAATGTTTATTGTGCCTTAACCTGAATCTTAATGTAATGGTCTTTAACACATGTGTGAAGAAGGGCTTTAACTGAAACTCTGGACCTAAATGCAGTTGTGTTGACCCCTTCAGGTTTTAAGGGTTTTGAGGTGATCCTTGTCCCAAATTATACAGTTTGGTTCAATTTCTGTATGTTTACAACTGAGAAACATTTTTTTCCGAACAACTGATGGACACCGCAGCTTTCGGGATGAAACAGAAACAGCTCAGCACTCAGTTTTGCAAAAAAGAGAAGGGAGAATAAAAATTCTGAACAGTGCGAGGCTGAGAAGATAGCAGTTACGAGTGGGGGAAACTAGTCCCTGTCTGGCCTGGGTATCCTTTTTTCTTCCTGAGTGCTAGTTTCCACCTCACTTTCTGTTGACTTCCTTTTCCTCATTATTTTCCATGATTGGGGTTTTGTCCAACCTCATTTCCTCATTGCCACATAAATTCTCTTTATATGGGCTTGCTCCAACCAATTTATATAAAGAGGAATGTGACCGATGTCTGTGTGACTGCTATGCTTTCCACTCCTGTTCCTTGCACGCAATTTCCTGCTCCTTACACCATCTCTCAAACCTGCTTTTGCCCTTGGGTTCATTCTCACCTGACACATTTTTCCTCTTTTGGGTCTCGGTGTTTAATGTCCATGTCTTAGGTCAGATGCTGCTTTTAGAATCTGACGCCTCTGCCCCTTGGCGGTGCGGGCAGCTGGGAGCAGCACCTATTCGCATTACAAATCCCATGAGTTGTGATGCCGTGTGAAGTACAAACCTCACGTGAGTTACGAGACCACCACGAAACATCTACTGTCCCTCGCTCAGCTACTTCTTGCCAGCAGCAGCTTCAGAGGCGGCAGAGGTGTGAAACAGCCACAGGTAGCTGCGCTGATTTGGCAAAAGAAGATTCACCTGAATTATACCCATTGGAGTATTTGTTTGCATTGCTAAAGCTGGCACTGCCCCCGTACTCAAGTAGAATGTAACCAAGCAAAATCTGCTTTGGACTTAACACTGTTTCAGTTTCATTTTATGTTTTCTTACAGCAGCCTCTGTGCCGTGAGGCTGGAGAGGACAGGGAGAAGAGGGTGCAACAGCAATTGAAAATCCAGGTTGCTCTGTGTCCTGGAGAGGAGAGATGGGACATGTTGGGGTGTTGGGGCTGCTTGTATCTCCCTAAAGCTGTAAAACACCTGCAGCCCCAGCTCCGGTCACCTCCCAGGCAGGGCAGGGCTGTGGGGAGCTGGAGACCGGCCGCGCTGCAGCATCCCCGGGGCAGGGGCTGGTGGCCCCGGGGGACTTGCTGCTGCTGCCTGTCTGGATGTGCTTAGCACAGACCAAATGCGACATCCATTAGTGACCTTGGCAGTGCTAAGTTCATGGCCCTTTAGATTTTCAGGCTTCGGTTGTAAGACTCGGTAAGTATTACTGAAGTGAGACAGCTTGTGTGTGGGTATCATCTCTGAAGTACTAATCTTGCCTTCCAGTGTGAAATACCCCCTCTCTCCAGTGCATGTTTTCATGACTCTCTATTTGCAGCCACGTTGTGTTACACATTTGGCATCCAGGCTATCAGCCTCTAGCAACAGGGGCTCTGCTGCCAGTTGTCTCTTTTTGTAGACAAAATTGAGCTGTATGAAGTTACCGTGTATTTCAGGCTAATCTTGACTTGTTTCCCCTTTGTCCATACCACTCTTAAAGAACAGAGTGACCATGAACTAACTTATTTGTCTGGAAAATATAATTTGTTTGGTTGTAAACCAAGACCAACAAACAGCTATAAAACCCTATCACTCATTTAGCAGCAGTGGGGTATTTTTGTTTTCTCTACCATGCAGCATACTTAACACTCTGCTACATTTCCATTGTTTCTAAAATGCATATATATTCCTCAAACATGAACTCGCAGTCAGAGTTAGAGATCTGTTATTTATGACAGAGGGTTTTAAAGGTGGCGGGACATATCCCTGCACCGACATCTTGGCTCTACGAATTCCAGTGAAGAGCATTAGTGCATCCTAGAAATAGGTGGAAAGTCAGGCAGCACATGCAGGGATCAGCCCTCTCTTTGTTCTTATATATCTCACACCCTGCTCAAGATTAACACCATTCGATGACAGCAAGCTGCTGCTCTGGTCTATCCTGGCCCTATTATCTCCTCAGTCTTTTCCAGCTTTGCCAACTCCTGTAGGTCTGCCTCGCTGTTCATGGTAGACATCAAGTGGACTTACATTGTAGGTCAAACCTTTCCCAGCAGTGCTTCTTGACAGTTCAATACAGTCAAGACAGCTGTGTTTCTCAAAGTGCCTTTATTCATGCCATAATTCGACATTGTTTATACCAGTGAACATGAACTGTAAATTGTTGGGTTTGCTAAAATGGTCCATTTACCATGCTAAAGCAAAGAGTTTATCGAGAGAAGTGCCTGAGAGAGCACATAATCCTAGCAGGTAATTTAATACAAATCAGAGCCTGCAGATGTTTGCAAAAGTGAGATAACAGATTAAATGAGGAGAAGAAATTTTTCTGGTAATTCATCCCAGCACTAGCTTCTTCACAAGCAATGAACAGAATATTACAGCTAACCTGGAGCACAGCAGCCTGCTATGTGTGAAATGCTATTTGTGCATTGCAGATTACATTGTGAGACTTCAGAGCTGTCATTCCTAATTTAACATGCGTCTACATGTCTAATAGACATTTCTGTGGGACTTAACTGAAGCTTTTATCTACCTAATGGCTACTGTGTGCCCACCCTTAGCCTCCATCGGAGAATGAATACAGTTGCTGGGCCAGGGAGTGCTGGCAGAGCAAGTGGGAGAGGTAACAAAGTCGTTGCTCATGAGATGCATAATGTCCTGGTGGAAAGCAGCAGTGTGCATCCTAGGTAGCGGCCCGGCTGAGAAGAAGATGGTGGAAGATGAGCAGAGCTGGAGGATGAGAAGCTGGGAAGGCTTCTTCAGGTTTAGCAGTGCCAGCATGAAACATGCTGATCCCTGGGTTGGGGAGGATGAGCACTTGGCTCCAACACCTTAAGCCCTGGTGGAAACTGTGTGAAGAAGGCAAGGAGGTGTGATGGGACTGGGTCCTCAGTGCAGATTTGTAGTGGGCACTTCACAGTAATCTCTAATTTCTGATTTAAATTCCCTTACAGAGAGAAGCACAGTTCCTCAAACTTATGTACTGTGATGAGAGAGCTAGATAATAGGCCAGACTTTCTCCACAGCTACTGAAAATCCTTCCTATACATGTGCATCTGGGAGGAGTATGGCCAAATTCCCCTGAAACCTGTAGTGCTCTCTTGTCTTTGATGAAGTGCTATGGAGGAGTGCTTCGGGGTCCCAAGGAGAGCAGTAGTTACTTCATCTTTGGGCCTAGGTGTGTGTCTGGAGCTGTCTGGGTATGCTTAAAATGTCTCATTTATGCTGTAAATTTGCCATTTGTTAAAGTTAAGCTCGGTGGTAAATAAAGTTCCTTGACAGTTGCAGATGCAATTAAATTGAGAAAATATTGAATTGAAAAGTGTAGCTTCAGCTAGAAGAAGAAATAGGGAATAATGAAGAAAGAGAGAAAGCTGGAAGAAATTTTTTTTTCTCTGTTGATATAGAGAAGGGAAAACTATGTGTTTCCAGCATTGTCAGAGGCCAAGAGAGCCCTCTTCCCCTGGGACAATCAGCATTCTGGGGCTTTGATGACTGAAAAGCTACCAGTCCTATCTTTTAGATGGTCCTTTCTAGGGCTGCTAGGCTAAGGTGCTGTTTATTTCAATATAATTTCACTTTGTTGGGGTCCTCATTGCGTTGGTCAAACCTGAACAGAGCAACTTGATTTGCTTGAGGACTTGTGAAGTGGCAGGGGTGAGGTTGCACCAGGAACGCCTTACTCCAAAACTGTGATCAAACCTTGCTACTCAGCTGCTGTCAGACACCGGCGTCACCTCATCTCACAGTGTGAAGAAGTGTCTCTGTAAGTGCCTGGGAAATCTGTACTTGGCTTTTCCCATCATAATTCCCATCACATGAGTTTAAACCGCTCTTCCTTGGGCTAAGCATCCTCTGGTTCCTAAACTGATGGGGATACACATGCTTTTGTCTAGTGTCTTTGGAAGGTTTGAAAGGGTGGCACTGCTCAGACCATGTCTAATGCACACATTATCAGGAGCCAGTTCCCAGACTGAAACAAAGATGGAAGAAATGGAAGTGGGGAGGGAAGCTGATTGTTTTTCAAAGCCTACCCAGATGAGATAGCAGAGTCCTGCTGTATGTGATAGCCTACTGGAAGGGCTCCTCACCTAAGTTGCTGGCCAAAGGAGCAGGAGCAGGTAGGTCTGTTCATTTCCTTCCCAGCTTCAGGTGGTCCTGAAGACTCACAGAAACCATTGGTGCTATTGGTTACCCTGGTAGAGATGCTGGTTTATTGTCTGAAGTGCAACCTTCCAAGCAAAAGATCTGGGTGGACTTGCTGTCCACACAGTCCACACTGCTTGCTGACTGTTTCAGCCCCCATACTTTTCCGTGTCTCCCCCTCTCTCTGTTCCTCCCAGCCCCTGAGTTACCTGGTGTCTCTCTTGTCTAAGGAGACTGTCTACTTGGATACTTACTTTCAGGCAATGATGGCATTGCACTCTGGACTGTGTTCATGTAGATGTGGATGAGATCTAAAACCAAAGAGCTGCCGCTGCTTTCAGGGCCTGCTTTGAGATTTCTTGAAGGAGCAGCAGCTGAAAGGCCAGGTTGCTACCAGGAGGTTTAGGGAGGTGACTTGGACACCCCTGGAGCAGCTGGAGCCACCTAATGCTGGCTTGGGTTTGGGTTAATGGAGAATGTGTGTGGTACATCTGGGCAGCATGGGAATGGGGTGGGGGGATAGGAAACAGAGAGCAATATTTGCTAGCAGTCCTTGGCTATGTGGTTGTCTCCCTGGGATGACTGCAGTCTGTGTGCTTCCAGATGAAGATCTCTGCAAGAGTGGAGCCCTAAACTCAGTTGCCCCTGCAGCTCCATCACCTCCTGAGAGTGTCACAGCCCTGTCATCACGAGGGAGGGCACCTGGGAATGGCATTTTACAATAAACGACCACTAGGTACACCACATACATGCTCCAAGAAGCAGAGACCAAGGCTCAGACCTCCCATGCCCAGCTTATCAGCAGTTTTGCCTCTTCGATTTTTCTTAATGAATTTAAACATTTAATCCTTTTATTTTTCCAGTATGTAGTGGCATAGCTTCAGTAGGAGTGGGGCAGGCTCCTGCCCCACAGAACGAGGAGCCTGCTTTTTCAAACATTCCTCCAGGTGCTGAGAGATGCTGGACTGAATCTCTCCAGGCTGAGGAGGGAATTGAGCTCACACCTCCCCTTCTAGCCACTTGAGTAGAAACTAAAATTGTTGGTGGGTCTTACAAGGATGTCATGGACTTTGATCTGAAGGAGCACCCAAAGGTAGCAGTGCTCAGGGTGGATCCAAAGTGGACAGAGCCACCTCTGCTCTTCTGATAAACCTTAG